AGGTACCCACTCTGACAGCCGCCAGGGTGCCCTGTGGTTCTTTTTGAGATTAATAACCCCAAACGGAGGAGTCACTTTTACAGAAAGACCAGTTTCTCTGCCGGTTTGGGTGGGGGGGGTGGTTGGGGGATAATGTCAGACCCCCCCAGAGGCAGCACGGACACCAGGAAAGAAGTGGCCAGAGGGTGGTGCTTAATGCTGCCCCCTTCCCTGATTTGATCCCTTTCGTTCGGCCTGTGTTTTGTCCCCTGGTCAGTTTGCTCTTTGTCAGCAGTTCCGTTGACTCCTGCAGTACCAGCAGAACTGTTTTAAAGCTCATCCGTAGTCCACTCCACCATTTAAAGCAATTACATCAGGACAGGGCTGGGGTCCGATTCAGTACAATTTTGCCTATAAACTAATGCTAATTATAGGCTAATAATTAGCCCATGGTTAGATATGATTCTGGGAGCAGGTTCTGGTGAAGGACATTAACCTCACCGCCTCACGGCTACTGATAGTGGCTCCTCACCAGCATTCCCCCCCCCTTTGGAGCTCAGGGCTGGTGGGGCCTGACCTTTACATCTTGGAGCCGAGCTTGATGTTGATCCAGGGACCAGGCAAACAGTGCCCTACGCAGCCTTCACCCCCCACCCCGCCGCCAAGGAGCGGGCGAAACACAGAGCAGCTCACTGCACTATGGAGGTACGTCCTGCTCAGCGCCCTTACCAGAGTCTTCCTCTGCCAGATCCCGCTTTAAAGCGAGGTGGCTTCGGTAACGCAGAAAAAATATCCATAATTCATTCATGATACTGTTGTTTTATCTTGGTCTCATTAAAAGTAAAAAAATTACATAGTTACCAGAACGTTGCACGGAAAATAATATGAACTGAACGTGTGTGTATATTTGGCTGAAATCGAGAAGATGCAGGTCCTTCTTAGCCACGGGATCAGACATAATTCCTCCTTTTTTTCCGCTGTCCTAATAGATCAATTTCTCTATATAAATTCGTCTCGAACGAACTGATTAAACAGCACAGTGTCTCTGCGTTGAGAGGCCCATTAGACATTTGTGACAGTAAATTACAGCACATTTACAATCCAAATGAAATTTCATAAAGGAGGGATATTGGGAACCGCCCCGTCCGTCTTCGAGCCTCCCTGCCAACGTCTTTGTCTCTCGTCTGACAAGCGCATCACATCAGCGCCCCCTGTGGTGGACTACGGCACCTGCAGGGTCGAGGAGTTTGGACATTCTTTCGCTGGTGTGCTGAATCTCTGCCACTTCCTTCGCCACATCAGCCGCCACATCTCCAGTCAGACCCAGCTCTTCCCTTCAGCGGAGGGCGTCTTTGCGTCTTTCCACCCAAAAGGGCGGGACACACACCTGGCAGCCGCCCCCTTTTGGCTCACTTTTTTTGTTGCCGTTCGCCCCCTAAATAATGAATCATCCAATCAATTTCTTTCTCTATGTTTTGGGCGCCGGAGCCTGGGGTGTGCCAAAGTCGATTCGCTTGATCTGAAGGGCCGGGATTAACCTCCCCCCACCCCCACCCATACTCAAACCTCACATCTCCATGGTGGGTCCGGTGCAGACCTTTACAGTCAAGCACCCCACTCTTTCCCAGAACAGGCTGTTGAAAGATTCCTGTTAGGCCCGTAATTTTGGAACAAGGCAGTACAGCAGTCTGTCTGTGTAATGAACCAGGCAAGGACAAGATCTGTACAGTAGAATCGATGTCATGGGGGGGGGGGTCCCATGCCCGGGAGAATCAGGGGCTTGTTTTAAGCAGAGATAAGTACAGACCCCCCACTTTCGTAGGTATGTCCACCTGGCTTTCAGGGTGATGCATTTCCCGTAGAGTATGGATAATATAGCAGGCAGAAGCTCTGCAAAACTGAGCCTCGACTCCCAGTATCCTTAACTGGTCTCCACTACATTCAAAGGCGTCGGTCACGTGATACGTGGAATATAGTTAATGGTTACCGACTAGTGCTGGTGAGTTTTTGTAATGCCTTAGCTGTTTACATTTTTTTTCTGCATGACTTGCATGAGGGTTCAAGGAAGCTTCTAGAAGCTTCCTTGAAAAGATCACACTGGCATGTGATCTTTATTGCCGTGAAGAGGCAGCCCCCCCAAGTCCCTGAAAAGGAAAAAAGGAACCACCATTTTTAATTTTTTTTTGGGGGGGGGGATCCAGGACATGTGATTTGAAGATATCTGTCTCTCACCTTGTGAAGTCGGCAGGTGATGCTCTATCCGTCGGAACAACGATGAGGAGAAGCAGGCTTCTGAAACAGCACTTCAAGCACAAGTGTCAGAATTTACACTGCTCTTTGTCTTTTCATGGGGGCGGCTAAATCCCTGCGTTTTCGTACCAGCTCTACGGGAGACAGCCTCTGGCTTGGCCAGGGATCGTTTCATCTAAGAGGTGTGGCTAGCTTCTGCTATAGGAAGATGACAGGAAACTGCATTTGGAACAATTTCCTTTGGCGCCACAAAAAATTTGACAAACGAGAGGTGGCCTTGACTGGCAGGATCACGCAGGCCATCTTCACTTGTACCGACTCCGGGGTTAAACTCTGGAGGATTATCATTAATGTCGCTACCAAAGCCACAGACTCTGCCCTCATCAACCCCAACTGCCTGGCACCAACATGGCCGACACCAACATGACCGACACCAACATGGCCGACACCAACATGACCGACACCAACATGGCCGACACCAACATGACCGACACCAACATGGCCGACACCAACATGGCCGACACCAACATGACCGACACCAACATGGCCGACACCAACATGGCCAATATATGTATTCGGATCATTGTTTATAGTATGTAATGAAGGTACCACTCACCCTATAACGGTAGCACCTCCACAGGCTAAGTGGGACCCTCCTAACAGGTAAAAATCATAGGGAATCCATGTGAATGTTCCCATAGGCCAGGTCTCCATCCACATGTAACCATGGACACCAGTGAGTCTAAAGCCACCCCATAACACCTAAGAGGAGATCGAAGCATAACCCACACGGTGCCTTTCACACTCCTGCTTTGTTAAAATTCATTCATACCCATTATTCAGTGCTGCCTGTCATGTTACCACCTCTGCTGATGGAAACCAGACCCACCTTTGGATGAAGTTCATTGTCAACAGAAAGGTTGGTTTGCAAGGTCATTACTGTGCCTGAAATATGTCTACAGTATACATTCATGCTGCATGGCACAAAAGCGCATTTGTTGACATATAATTTAATAAAAACCTAACACATTATTTGTAAATTACCAGGGACTGCCACGATGTGTGAATTCTGGTCATATTTTCCAGTTTGTGAAAAACATCTGAATATCAAGTGCTTGTGAAAGACATTTTCAAATTTTACACAGATTTAAGACAAAATAATTTTGTATGCAACATAAATATGAGTAGTGATGAGATGTAATGATTCTCAGCACCATTGGAAAATAGTCCTTTTATGATATAATATAAATGTGTGTACAATTTAAATGGAAAAATTAGCTTATCGGATGAAATATTCCGCTCTGTTCCTTCCAATGCTTCTATGGGCAGTTCTGTGTCATTTCTTTAAAACCTGGAAAAGTAAGGAAGGAACCTAAAGTTATTTAAATGATTGGCCTTTTAAACAAATGTCTCATGTGTGCATCATATATTTGTTGTTATTAAATTTAAATTAAGTGTGCTATATATAACACTGTTGCAGAATATCATTAACCTAGTAGTGTTAACCTCCACAAATAATTAACAAAGTATTATAAAAAAAGACAATTAACTTGAAGTGTAAGTCCTGAAGTGTGAGGCATTTTATTGCTTTTTCCCCTTCGGTTGAATGCGCTGAAATCGCTGCTGCTCTGCACTCCCATAACATGTATTAGCTCCATATATTGTGCCTTGCGTTGAGTTCTGTAGTGCAGTTCTTTTTTCCCGAAAATGTGGCCGAATAAAGAACAAGATAACGAACAAACAAACAAACTTTAAGCAATGCTTTGTTGGCTCCTCCCCAGCCTCCGGGTGAGAAAAGCACAGACTGTTGATAAAAGAACATCGATTCCGTGTGTTGTAAAGGTGGAGTATGTTATGTGACCGTTACATCATACACATACACATTTAAAAATAATAATAAAATGAAAGCATGCAATGAAATAACAATGAAAGCATGCAAAAAAAAAAACCCAAAATAAATTAACTTTTTTGCTGAAAATGTAAAAATGGGCTCAAAATCTGACGTTGCTTCCTTGTAAACAAAGCACAGTGATGAGCAGCAATAGGACAAGGAAGTAACACTTCTCAATAGAAGACTTGAAACCATTTATTGAGGAGGTGGCCAAAAATATGTTTTAATAAAATAATTATTGCAGTGTAGCCAGCATAGCACACGTGACAGTAATAGCACAGCAGCATTCAGGGGGACATCTTAGAGGTCCCAAGGACTTGTGTAGGCACCAGAATCGCACCTTCCACATGCCCAGAGGCCCCTCTACAGCAGAGTGCGTCTTTGGTGTGCAGTGTTACACCTCTCCTGTTTGGGGATTCTACACTGGAGTCAGCAGCTATTCGCTAAGAGAGGATACCTACCGTCTCCAAAGAACCAGCCACCAGCAAACACACCATCCTTTGCCATCTGACACACTCTAAAGCTGGACCAGATATAAGAATCGTGTGTCTTCCCAGGTCACTTGGCCACAATGTCTGTAAAATATCCTTAGATGCACATTACTTAGACAATTAGGTCTAGTGCCAGGAAGCCTTTTTGGCAGGTGCAGGTGGGATTGAAGAGGTTGCGAGTAGGATTGAGCGTTCCATCTTCTGCACCTAATATGCCTGCAATGGCACGAAAACCAATTTTAGTGTCATACAAGGCATCCCCTCCTGCTGGAAACTATGCAGTTGTGCATACGATGCAAGAGAATGTGATCGATGCATGCACAGATTTGGACACGGTAGCATCATGGATGGTCTGCAAGAATCCATCGGTGGGATAGAAGCAGAGAGCTGTCAGACGATACATGATGGACTGAGGGCAAAATTCCGCTCTGTTCCTCTTTTCGATTTATCCTGCACCAGACCGGGAGGCTCAATATTTCAGCCCAGGCCAGCCTGTATTTCCCTATGAATTGTTCTTTGCTGAGATGGTCCATGGGGTTCACATCAACCCGCAAAACAGCATTTGGACCAGCAGCTTGGTCTCAAATGCCGTCTTGGTTTCGTTGTACAGTTCTCTGCCATTACTGGTCATGAGGGGTGATTCACCTTTCCAATTCAAAGGATGTGACAACTCATAGTAAGTTTGATTGGTTAGCTCATTATGTATGTGGTTGCTGAGAATTTATGAATTGTGCCCCATTCCATTATGAATTGGAATATTAATTGAATTGGCCACGCCCTGTAAGACATTGAATTGGAATGAGAGGAAGAAGAATTTAATTCATTTTAATTCAAAGAAATTACTCAGGAATGTCATTTAATCTCTGAAAATATATATAATTATGCAATAAATGTACTTTCTAGATGGTAGATGTATATATTGACCTTATATATGTATTAGTGAGTGAAGTGAACTTTATACTTGCATGAATGTACGATCAAAATTGTGTAATTGCTTTAGCCCATTCTAACAATATGGATCTGGATTTTGTCGGCCCTCTGAGTCCTTTTCCATGGGCAAACATTTATTGTTCTTGCATATATAACTGTTCATGTAACACGCATAGGCTATTCTGGCAGGTGCTGGAACAGGGGGTGTGGCCGATGGCTGCTTTTTTCCGCCATGAATTTTCGTAATTGTGAAGTGGGATTCAGTGAATGCAGTTTATGTTAAACATGTAATTCATATTGGAATGTTCAGCTGTATTGTTACAGGTGCACCAGCACTATGTATATGAATTTATGTAAAATCAATCCCATTTTAATTGTACTTCCTTATATTCAAATTTGAATTGAGATTCTGCACCCTGTTCTCAACCAATTTTATGAATTGAATTTGAAGTTCAAGGTCATTCTCAATTCAATTCTGAATGGTGCACATCTCTGTTATGTACTGAAATTGCATGCAGGTGTTAAAACAATGAGCCCTTTTTGTGCTAATTTACAACCGACGTCATAGTTTTATTCTGCAACATTTTTGCCATCTGTTTTGGTCGATCTTTGTGTGTCTGTGATTGGACAGCAGGCAAAAGTTCAAATAAAGAACGTTCTGAGCACTGATAAAATTACGAGCAAGATTATGAACTACTTTACTTACTCGCTAATTAACGATTTATCTTAAGTGCTAGATAGCCAACTACTTAATGTTACAAAGCTTTCAGGAATCCCACCACAGGTAAACAGGAAGAAATGAAGTAGTTTATGTCGGTTTATGTTTTATTTGACATTTTACAGGAGAGCTGCCCTTGCCACAGTCTCTTAAAAACATTTCACACATTCCTGTCAGCAGTGATGTGTGAAGCAAGGCGGCTCCAGCTTTTTCTGGTATCTGTCTGCTCGAGTCGCGTGGCAGCCAGCACCGTGGCGACGGCATGTTCCGGAGGATTCCGCGGGAGAGGACTTTCTCCAGTTTAAACAGCAGTAAGTGGAGGTGGGAGACACTGGGTGTCCCTGAACGAGGACATGTAGGAGGGCCACCAGGGGGCCCCGAAGGAGTCAGGCTAGGGGGTCCCGAGGGGCCCAGGGAGCAGTGAGGAACCCAGCCTGAGACAGCGGCGTGACCCAGGACATGACTGAAGGCCCCTCATCTGCCTGCGTCTCCCTTCACCAGATAGAGCCGCTGGAAGATCTTTGCTCAGTCAGCTTTCCGAAACCAGGTGAGGATTTCGGAGGTGACATTCCTCGGACTCTCCCCCGGTGCATGGGGACATGGGTGTCCCCCTCGGCTGGACGAAGGGTCACACCAGACCGAGATCTCAGAGAGACGCTTTGCTGCTCCACCTCCTCGTCACCTCCTTGTCACCTCCTCAACCAGACGGCTAATGGCCTGCGGCGGCTAACGATTTCCCCTCATGTTCGGTCCAGGGCACAAGCAAGTGTCAAGCCCCCATGAGCAGTAAACACTTGGGCTGCTAACAGGCAGAGGGCTGACTGCTACTTAACCCTGACCCCTGCTTTCCCATGGCCCAGGGCCGCATGTGTAGCCGTCCATTCCAGGCCTTAACAGAGATGCTAACTTGTAAGAGTTTTTTTTTGGGGGGGGGGGGTAATTGTTCATATTTTTTGCTTTTTATTATTATTTTATTAACTTATAGTACCTTTACATAGCTGTAACATGACAATATTCAGGAAAATTTCTCTTAGCGTGTGGTGGCATTGTCTGAGGTGTGGGGGAGTTGGTGGTGGGTATCAATATGCAGAAATGCTGGATGCAGACATGTCTCATCATGTGACCAGTGTCCGTATGCTTCTGAATGGTGTTCCCCGCCTTCCAAAGGGCTTCATTCTCCAGCTGCCCAAACCGCGCAGGAGTGAAGGTTTGGAGAAGCGGCACCCTTTGAGCACGAAGCCCATCGCCGCTCCCGCAAGCTTGAAAGAAAGGAATGGGAGATGTCTTCAAACTGGCAGATATTAGGTTTAAGTGGGGATTGTGGGTGTGTTAGGCCAGGAGATTGTGAAGCTGCTCTCAGTCAATCTTGCTTTTGAATAAGAGAGGGGAAAAAAGCACACAGCTCTCTTGGCGCTTCGTAAACTCCTGGCAGGCTGAAGCATCGTGTCTCACAGAGCAACACTTCCCTCCCAGGAAATGCCCTCCACACAAATGGGGGAGTGCATAAGCATGTCACATCTTCCCAGCAAGCTGCCTGCATCTCCTACCACTTCAGGTCTGCATGCAATATTTACTCAAGTCTGGGAGTGAAACTTCAAGGTCTGGTCATTTGAAAGAGCAGGCAAATCACTGATTGTCTCTTGTCCTCATAAAAGAGAATATTTTCTAGGACATGCTAAGAGACAGATCAAAACACACTTTCTGAGGACTGACACTTGCAGTGGTACTGACGCGTTTTATGTGAGACTCATTAATAAAGATGCACCCCCGGGGAGAGAGACAGGGGAGAAAGTGTGTGTGTACAGAACTTTTCCCCCGTTTGAAATGTCAGGTGCAATTTCGGAGCTGTGATCTTCAGATAACAGCATTCAATCACCCCCATTGTGCGGCTGTTTACCACGTCTCCATGCCGATTGCCGTGTCAATGACAGGTGTTTGTGTTTTAAAGACCGATATTGAAAGGAGCGCAAAATCAGTCACAACGCCTGCACCCAGCTGCGTCTCTGCCTCGGAATCGCATCGTTTAGCACCAAGCCGTGCAGATCGCTGCGCCTGAAAGCGGATGTGTGTTTGAGGCCCTTGTCTTCAGATTAAGATCTAATTTAATTAGCTAGCAATTCCTGCTCAGTGCTTTTAATTGTTGCTAAGTGATATTTCATAGACGTGCACCGAAAGATTAGCGTCATTAGATTGCTTATCAAAACTCTAAGCAGGAAGCTGCTGTTTGGTTCCGGTGAAGCATTAGACAGGCTTTGAGGATGTTTAAATATGTAATATAAACTCTATAAATACATAAATTTGCAGTTATTAAAAGTTTCGTGACTGCGTTGCATCTGTCACGGTATCCGCGGAGCGTTATCGCTCGTGTCACTTCCTGCGTACCTAAGTTCTGATCGCGTGGGCCGTGTTTACGCTGAAAACAGCATGGTTTGTAAATAATGCAACGTAATTTATGCAGCCCCACAGCGCAGTTTGCGAGCGCCCGGGATGATAAATGTATTTAAACTTCCAGAGATAAAAAAGAAGCACTTACTTAGAATGTAGCTTTTAGCTAGCATATTAAATGTGTCACCCCGTAAAATGAAGTCTTGTAAACGCTTTCAATATTTATGTTTTGCTATTTGTCAACTAATGTCGGATGATGAATTAATGAACAAAGCTCTCAAATTGCTGGCTCTGAGAATCGTGTTTGCAGCACATTTATTTTTTAACAGCCCCCACCCCATACATCAGAGCTGCAGCGGAAATGAGCAGATTGTGTTTCGTGTCATATGATACCATTCATTCCTCATAAGGTATCAGTTTAGCCTTTTCAAGCACCGATGCTACAAAAGCCAGCACACAAGCAGCAATTATCTTATTAGCAATTAACCTGATGATGAGGAATTGTTGTGTTGTTGATCTTGTGATCTTCATTATGAACGAGGTTGTTACTCTTCTGGAGTGCACACTAAGCATCCACTGCATTAGTGTTGAAGCGCAGCGCATGGTGCATAAAGGTATTAAGAAGTGCTAAGGTTTTACTAACGTAAGTGCTTACAAATACCTATGCAATGCTAATGTAGGCATGACAAGGACCTTATGCAAAGCCCCTAAAGTTACACTGTTACCAAGTAGGAGTGTTTTTACTTCATAATGTTGAATCCTTTGTGGTTTTGAAGTCTCCCTGGGCCTTGGTTGTGGTACAGTCCTGACATTGGGGAGTCTTCATTACTACTTCAACAGACGTTGATGGTAATGATCTTTGGTGAACGAGGAGACACCCAACACGGGAATGAACGTGTGGGATACCCCGCCGTAGTGTAATCTCACAAAAGGCGTCGACGAGAACGCTGCCTTCCTGTCGTGTTTGGCACGTGTCTCCGTGTGCCCCAATCCTCTGACCGCAGAAATTAAGCTAATTATTGGTGATGGGCAGTGTCAAGTCAGAGAAGAGCACAGCTGGAAGGAAGTTGCAGTGACAAGGCGTGATGAAGGCTCACAGCTAGAGCAATAGGCCCCAGATTTAACCCCAAGTCATTAAAATTAAAGGAACCTCTCTTCTGTAGATCTACATCTTTTCCTATGAATGTCATGGCAGAAGCCACAGGATTTGAGTGCCACGTAAAACGCATGTAGTATGGATCTTTTAGTTGTCATTTTTGCATTTGATTATAGTTTATGGCCTTTATCAACAGCAGCTTACTTTGCTGAGGGTTATTTCCAAAATTTCTTGATGCAAAAATCATTGAGTGTTTCTCTGTGTCATTTGGCAAAATTAATTTCAAAATATCACTACTGTCATCTTCAGCTGTATGATCCTTGGGTCATATGCTGAGATGAAATTATGAATTTGTTGGTCACAGTAGATGAAGAACCGTGACAAATACAATACAAGTATAAAAGACCATCCATCCATCCATCCACCCATTTGCTGTAACCCATTATCCTATTCAGGGTCGCGGGGGGTCCGGAGCCAATCCCGGAGGCTACGGGCGCAAGACAGATAAAAGAGTGACAATCTGATAGTTTAAACATGACATACTGAGATGGATGTGAGATGTCAAAAAAAAAACAATAAAGAACTGTGTGCGTGCAAGGGTGTGTGTGTGTGTGTGTGTGTACATATATATATACACACACACACACACACACACACACACACATAGATACAGTTGTCCAAATGGTGATGAGCTGTATGGGCCGGAAAGTGCAGTAATAGATTATGGTCTGAAAATATTTGTGGAGCATATGAGGCCATATGACCAGCTTCATACACATACATGTCACATGCAGGTGTGCAGTGGCCATAGGGTATATCCATCTAACATAAACAGTCACGGTGCTGTTGGCTATGCATCACATGAAAAGTGTGTTACGCTACAAGACCATAATGCATTTCTTCCATGATCCTCCGCTAGGAATCGCACATGCACTCGAGGTGTCGGAGGAGGGCCGTAGCCGGCATTGTCTTCCGCATTGTTAGCTCTTTCATTAGGGCTTGTGAAGAAGAGCTCTGCCGTTGTCTTTTGTTGTTTAATTAGCCAGCTAATGTTGTTAGTCTGCGCGTCAAACCCTTCATTTGTCTTCCTTAAAGAGCTGTTCTCTCTCTTTTTTCCCTCCCAAGGAGAAGCCTCTGCCTTAAATGCATGTAGAAATACAACGTTAATTAAATCCTAATAAGCGCCGTTTGATAGCAGCTCATCAACGGCCGCGGCGAGATCGTTAGGACCGGCCGAGGGACCCCCCCAGACACGTTTCGGATGGGCTTCTTATTAAAATAAATGCCTTTTCACCGATTTTTTTCCCCCCCTCGCCGCTGCGATTCCGCGACATTTTACTCTATCGGCCAAACGTGTAAGCGGATAATATAGTTTGTCGTACATGAAATTTTAGTCCCTTATTGATCCCGCCAATATTCCTGAGCACTTAACCTTTACATTAGCCAAATATG